CTCCCCAAAACCCCCTGGCTCTCCTTCCACCTCACGGCTCACGTACCTCCATCGTCTCTGTCCAGTGCAGAGAGCAAGGAGGGAGGGGAAGGGGGATCCGGCTTGTCCGTGTGGTGGCAAACGTGCTGTTGCCTTGCCCTTTTTGTGACAAAAACCCCAAAGCGCGGAGAGGTCGAGGAGCTGCCTGAGGCTGGCCGCGAGCAGGACGGGCAGAGGGAGGTTTCACCCAGCAGGCAGCCCGGGAGGTGTGCACGGCCTCATTCTGCTTCGTCGCAGGAGTCCGCATCCTCGCCCCCCTCCGCGTACGTGATCCCCGCGGCGGAGCGCGCCATGGCCCTCATCCAGCGCCGTTTCAGCTCCTCGGTGTCGGCCACAAAGGTGTAGACCTGCCGGGACTGCGCCAGCTGGAAGAGGTGGCGGGAGTCGCCCTGGGGCAGGTCCCTCACCTGGTAGCCCAGCAGCGGGATGGAGGTGTGTGCTCGGACATCCTGCCAAGAGTGGAGACAGCGGTGGGAGGCAGGGGACAGGCACACTGGGCTGTCCCTTGCAGATGGAGCCAAGCCCGGCCTTACCTGGGGGGCCGCGTAGATGTACAGCACGAGGGGATCATCCTGCGGGATCACGAACCAGCCCCGCGTGCCCCCCTTGCCGTTCTTGTCCAGCAGCTGCAGGGAACTGCACAGCAAACTCCTGCCTGATACCTCTGCAGCTCCTTTCTGCCAAAAAACCAGCAAACAAATCCCTAAATATCCTGTGCCGGAGGCAGAAAGGGCACCGAGCAAAGGTCATTTCCTGGGGAATTCCCTGCCTGCTCCACAACCCCCCCCCCAAACCGGGGGCAGGCGAGGGGTGGTCCTGGCTGTGAGGGTCCTGCTGAGATCCCTGGATGCCTGGTCCCAAGGCTCACAAGAGCGGGAGGGAGGGAGGGGGCTTAGCACATCCACCAGCCTCGCAATTAGCAGGCACCCTCTGACTGCTGCGGGAGTGACTCCCACCCCTCCTGCTGCAGGCGCGTGGCCGGGCTGGGACAGTGAGGCTGGGGACCAGGGTGGATGGCAGAGCTCAGAGCAAGAGGGACAGAGGACCAGGACACGGGGAGGACAGGCAGAGCTCACCTCCAGGATGCCTTTGGGCTTCCCCTCCCGGTCCTCGAGCACCACATGGCCCGTCAGGAAGACATAACACTCCTGGCACACGCGGTTCAGGCGGTTCCCATCATACTGTAGCTCAGCCTTGTAGTCAGAGCAGCGAGCGCACACCACCTACAACCACCAGACAGGGACACCGGTGAGACTGGGGCAGGGCTGGGGGATCCCAGGGACAACACCATGAGGAGCCGAGGGGCAGGAGCAGCCCTGAGCCTGCTGGGGAACCTGGGGAAAGCAGTACAAGGTGTAGGAGAGGTGCGGTCCTGCCCCAGCGGCCACCTGACCGGGCCAGGAGGGAGGGAAGAGAGGGGGGACGGGGTGACTCACGTATCCACAAGCTCGACAGTGGTGTCTCCGGCGCATGATGGCGTTGAAGGGCTCCTTGCAGCGCATGCACATGGTCCCCAGGTTGTCCCGCACCCACTGTGGGGCTCGGCGGCCCAGCTCCTCTGTCTGGGGGTGGGAGACGGCATCGCTGGGGCT